GAAGGAAGGAAGGAAGGAAGGAAGGAAGGAAGGAAGGAAGGAAGGAAGGAAGGAAGGAAGGAAGGAAGGAAGGACAAGGATGGCCAATAGCTTCAAGTCAGTTCTTTCCCTTTTCTTTAGGGGTGACCATTCATGCCAAAGGTTAGGGGGAAATGAGGTTCTCACCCCCTGAACCCTGCAAGGTGGGACAGCTCCTTGTAATCAAGGTGTGAGACAGTGTGGATGTCTGCTGGTTCTCACCAAAGCTGGTTCTCTGGCCTCTTCAGTCTCCGGACCCAAGTTGTTCCCTTCCCCAGACCTTTCGACATCACCTCCGGCAATGCCGCTCTGGTCACTCTCGGGAGCTGAGGTCTCCATTTCTTCCCCTTTCTCTTCCTGCTGCTGCTCAGATTCTTCCAGGTCAGCACTACCATCTTCTTCAGCATCCTCCTCCTTCTCTGGATGCAGTTCTTCCTTGCTATCCTGCTCCAGGGGACTCTCCAGAGTCTCTCCTTCTATCTCTTCTCTCTCTTCCATTGTTTCTGTTCAAAAGACACGAAACAAAATATTTTGAGCCCAGCGCTTCCAAGGCCGCTAGGGGTGAGGAAGCTGTGGCCCTCCGGTCATTGCTAAACTACAACTCCCAGCATCCCTCAGCAATGACCAACCCCGGTTATATCATCTGGATGGCAATCAGTTACTGGCTGCAGTTCTTTGTACTTACCTCCTGTACGTTCCTTCAGGAGAAGGTCTCATCTTCAGGTTACTCTGCCCAGGTTTTTCCAGGCCTGAGTCCTCAGGTCTTTTGGAATGACAATTCCCAGCACCCCCAGTCAATGTGGCCAAAGGCCATTAGTGATGGGACCCCTTATCCAAGTCTAGTAGAAGACATAATGTGTGGAAAAGGCCACGCGACGCCTCCTACCAGGTTCACAGTCCTCCTACCAGGTTTACAAGGACAGGAATAATCCTAACAACAGTGAGAAGGCTTTGTTTTAGGTGGGGAAGAGAGCTAAAAAATGAAAGACTCCAATGGTGCCTGGGAGATAATACTCATTTTAACTGCTCCCATCTGTTGCTGACCCTGTTCTCAAGGGACCCACAAAAGAGATCTGGGCAGGGACCATGACAATGCAGAGGCTAGGGAAGGTATTCTAAGTGAAAGGAAGAAGAAGCAGGGCTGTCTAGGAGAGCTTCTTGCTTTCCTGGGTCACAATTTTTAAAAATAATTATTTAAAAAAGGACTTCATGGGAAGTAGACATTACCTTCTTCTTCGGTTGTAGCGCCTGATTTCTTTAATGTCTTCCAAACAATTGGAGGAAAAAAGGGGAGGGGGAGGAGAAAAGTTGTTACCCATCTGAAAAATAGCAACTGTTTTCCATAAACTATAACATCAGCATTAACATAAAGTCCATTGTGGCTTTAAATAAACGTGATGCCAATGAGTCAACAAAGCAACGTTGAATACTAATCAAATCAAACTTACAGCTACATTAAGCAATTTAAGGAGGGCTGCACTGCATAAGAAGCCAAGAAAAAGAGTGACTGGGATGGTCCATTCGGACCAGGATGGCAAAGCAGAGTTTAATTCGTATTTGCA